TAGTGACACAGCCTTAGATTTCGTCTTTCTTGTTGACATGATGATCTGTGCAATTACTTAGACTTTCTGTTGTTATAAAGGCTTGTTGTTTCAGTGCAGCTTGTGAAACTTGTGTATTTTTCAGTGAAGAAGCTGCTGTGATGCTGCTAAGTGCTCTTCAGGAATTTACTTGCATAAAATCAGCCTCAAAGACTGAACTTGAAAACTGACTTTTTGGATGAAGTTGTCTTTGTGTTGGACTCAGAAAAGACTGGGTCTTAACAGCAGACTTTCCTTAATATTGGTTTTTGCAGCAGTGTAATGTGCCTCATGCTGTGTTCTACCTTTGTGCCTTTCTGAGCTGCTGGTAGGGAATTTGTGTGACTTTTAACCTTATCCAGACATGAAGCAGAGGGACTCCTTTAAGGCCCCATTCTTTGTTCCTACTCTAACTCAGTGATTTGACACACTTCAGCCAACTTATTTGAAGTTTGACTTTACAGGATGAGAACATACAGGTCAGCAGCACCCAGCTCTAGTTTGTTCTGTACCATCATGACACTTTGCCACCCACTCTTTAATGACATAAATTGCCCCCTGGGGTTGTGTCAGTTCCTCTGGTGAAAAAGACAAGTTTCAGAGAAAAATTACAGGATTGCTGCCATGTATTTATAGCTTAGCTCACACTTTGGGTCCAAAATCCCAGACTTCATATATTTGAAAGTTGCAGGAGCCTCTTAAGTTTACATTTGTTTATGTTGTTCTCAGGCGTACAAGTTAGCAATGAAACTATTTTACGAGAATCCGTTTACAGGGATTGCTTTTGTTATCTTTTCCGTGGGAAACTTTTAATATCTACCTATTTTAAATATTAGGAACATTTACATTTCAACACAGGTCTTATTGATTTAGTGTTAGCCATGTATACAGATCATTATCTTTGTGACATCACATTGAATATGTCACTGGTGGCGCAATAGTTTCCCAAGAAAACCACATTACTAAAAGTAATTGCTCTCTAGAACTGAGGAAAGTTATATTTCCAAACTAAAGGAAAATGTACTGGTTTTCATACTCTACTGTTTGCAAGATTCACTAGTAAATCAAGATGGATCGATCAAAAAATTTTGTGATTGATTTATAATCGCCAATTCTGCATTACTCTGACCTTTTACTTGTTTGAGCTTTTTTTTTCAATTTCTTTATCAAAAGCATAAACAAGAAAATAGTCATTTCTTTTTTCTGGATTAATGTAAAATTACATTTCTCAAAACTATTAAATTTGACTTTATAAGCTATCATTCTCCTCACTGGAAATCTAAAATCCTCCAGGTTATAGGAGAATTGTCTCTATAAATCAGTGATTTAGGGACCCATCATCACCCTTGCTAACAAGCAGAGACACAAGTCAAGGAGATTTTTCAGTCCAGTTTTAAAAGTTCATTCACTTATTCAAGTATCAGTCAAGACATTTCAAGAACAGTTGGTTCCAACAATGGTTATCAACTCCCATTACTGGACATTGTCGCATCTGTGTGTAAATTATGGAATGAGGCAGATGGAAGAAGGTGAATAATAAGTGACACAAAGTAGTTCCACTAGATTCTACTGTTGTATTACCTCCCTCCCCCAAAAAAATATTGCATATTATTGCCTATACAAGTTGATTATTATAATTTCTTTCTTAAAAATTTTCAGTCGTTGGTTGCTTTTACTCCCCTCTTTGCTGTCGAGGAATGAGGCAGAAGGAAAAAGGTGAAGTTGTGCAGTAAATCCCCCGGGGTGTGGGGTTGAACTCTCGAAAGCTGCACTGAGGACTGTAACCTCTAAAAGAGGCATCTGCTCTACCAGCTGACCCACACTGTGACTCCAGAGTTGACATTTTAAGTTGTTCATATCATGTTATGCTATTGCTTGTTGTTATTGTTGGGGTGGTTAGCATTATTAACTGCTACTCTTTGTGTTTTGCCTAAGGAGAACAAAGAGTCATACCTTGGATGTGAAACTTAGAAAAGATTGCCAACACTTTGTAATTCAGCATGTTTTATGTCATTGCTGTTAGTTTCTGCTTTCTGTTACTTGCTGATATTTCCCTCCCAATGTGACTTCTTCTTAGAAGTTTCTAAATCTTTTTTGAATTCTGTGACCCCATTTTTGAAAGCCTTGTTGACTTTTGTCTCATGAAAAAAAGGCTAACTCAGTCCCCTTCACTCAGAAATGACTTCTACACTGAAAAGTTTTATGGCATTTTTGCGCCTAAGAACGATGAGTTTACTAAACAAAAAATATTGTTTGGGTTTCTTACTGATTAGACTGTATGTAATTTAATCTAATCCAAGTAACATGATTTTTACCTTATCTTGAGATAATAATTTGAATGGATATATTAATATTACACAAAATCTCTTTCAGTTAAGTTGGTTCCGACTAAAATTACTAAACTTTGCTTTAGACAAAACTAAACCTGATTATTCAGTAAAGAACCTATATAAAAAGTGCTAGTTCTTAATTTGAATCATGATGCAGTGGTAAGCTAGTGATCTGAACTTCCTGCATCTCATAATGAACGCATGTGTGAATGAATGATGGCCATATTTTCCTGAAATGATCCACCCAAGCAGATGCTTTTCTGTGTGAGCTCAGCATTTTTCTTCAGAGCTGTTCGTGTTTATTTCCACTTCCTTTTTGTAACCATGATTTTGTTGTTCTAAGCAGATTTTTTTATTTTGCAGAGCATGGTTTGGGTTCTTTTATTCGTCTCACAACTTTTGAATCCTGTCGATTAACTTTGGTTTATTATTTGGAATTGAAAGTATTATCAAATAGTCTCTCTAAGCCGATCTAAAATATAACAAACACACATGCAAGCTTTACAGGGTTTCACCCAGCGTGTTATAAGCCTGGCGGGCCACCAGGGTTTACTTGCCACCCCCACCAGGCTAAGCATCATTTGTTTATTTTAAATAATTTGTTTACTGGCTGGTGTTTTTTATACACCACCCAGTAACAGTAAAGATTAAGTTAAGTTTATAGATGACAAATTGAACTGGGTGCAAGGGAGTGTACAACAATTGTGCCATCCTTGTACCTACCCATTGGCCAGACACGTAATTTCCAAATTATGATGCCTGCTTGGGCACGTCCATATATTTGTTATTTTTTCATTTACCAACACATAAACACAGTTTCTTCGGGGAAGTCTTGCGTTTTATTGTCAGTAGCATTGAGCTAAACTTCCTTAGGCTTTTTCTAAGGGTGTTTTTGCTTTGTAAACATTTTGAGTCCTCACTCCATATTTATTGTGTTTATAAAATGTAGAATGAACAAAAAGTTCCTCGTCAAATAACTTAAAATTGGTCCCTCACTCTCTTGTTTATGTGTTGGCTTAGCTATGATTGGAGTGGGGCTCGTCAGAGACGGCTTTCTGGAATCTGAAATAACAAAGTTATGCGGGCCGACTGACGAGGATAATAATCATAGGATGTCGAGATCAGGCTGTCTCTTGTAACTTTTCACAGATTTTTAATCTTCCGTTGGTCTGCTAACTATCCTCGTATCCCCAGGATTTCTGCCGTTAGCTACAGCTTGCTCATCGGTTGAGCCCACCTCCCAGCTGTGCTGCCGTATCTCTCACCCTTATTGCTGCTCTCCTCCCCCTTTCCCTCTTTGTGGTCACACTCAAGAGTTCCTGTGGAAGAGCTTTATGAAAGAGGATGAGGATGAGGAGTGAACACAGAGGGGTGGGGGGTTGACTCATGGAGGTCGTCATGGAGTCCTCACTATAGCAACCGACAAGCGTTTACAAAGCATTGAGGAATTTCCTCATATCAGCTGGATTATTGGAGCCCATGGAGACGTCTCTCATTTAAAACTCATGCTGGATATCGTCAGGACCTTAGCAGGGGCTGAAACCCCACTGCTGTTTTCATCTTTTTTTTTTTTTCCTGGAAAGTAGGGAACTTGTGTTTTTTTTTTTTCTTGGCTCTCTTCCCTCTTGCACTACCATTCTTGTGCATGCCTTACCCCAGCTCTTTCTCTCTGTGTCTTTGATTTTTAAAGAGCCTTTGTGTCACTCCATTTTTAGCTTCCCTTTGCTATGCTGCACACATTGTGACCCAGTGGAAAGCAAAGTGGTGGCAGTGAGTTCGGCCTTCAGGAAATGGCGCAGAGCTGTTGGTAATTTTAGCTCCTCTGCTGTAACTTTCCCACATGATTCTGTTCTGATAGTAGATAGTGTGGAGTACTGTTGGTACCTCTTATTTTTGGCGTTGATTAAAACCAAACAATATCCAGTGGGTCACTGGAAGTTTTGGTGACACAACTTGACTTGGCATATGACAATTACTATAATTGACTGTTTTTATCATCTCAGTTAACACAAGTAGCATAAATCAAACAACAGCCCCTGTTTGTTTCTTAGTGAATCTTGATCCTCATTTTAACACTGAAATTTTCAAAAAGTTGCTAATATTTCCAATTCCCTCATTCTCCAAGACAAATTAATAACTTAAAAGGTTTTAACCAGTCACCTTTGATGTTCTCTAGTTGGCCTTCTTGTTAGCTGCTAAAAGTCTTTCTCTTATGGCTGAAATCAACCACAGGCATGTCTTGACATGTCATAGGACACACATTTTCCTTTTAAACTACTTGTTTAAAAGGAAGGTCTGATATGTTCATTGACTTAAATTTTTTTTTTTTAAGTCAATGTCCAATTCTTGATGCAATTCTTTTTTTAAAGGTTTCATTGGCTCTGGTGGCGTTTACATATGGCGGTCAGACAGGAAAGTGGGTAATGAGAGATTGGGAAGAAATGCGGCAAAAATCAACAGGCTGGGACTCAAACCTGTGACAGCCGCATTGAGGATTAAGGCCTCTATATGTTGGTTGTGCTTGATCCTTGCACCACCACAGCACCCTGAACCTCTAGTTTTAAATCTTAATATCACCTCTGAATGGTCTGTGAAAGTTTTGTTCCAGATTAGTGAATTATTTCATATTTATTTTCCCTCTGTGAATTCCAGCATGCAGAACTCAGAAGCAGCGTCAGACCCCCCCACTGGTGTGGCAACACTACGGACGTCATCATCAGCTCAGGCTCCTGTGGTACAGCCTGTCCCAGCCTCCCAGCAGGTAGGGACCCCGCCCATCAACCCACCTGCTGTTTCTATATGGACAGGAAAAAGCCTTCATTGATTGGACTTCCTAACCCGGATAGGATAAAATGTCAGTCAGGAGCTTATTGTAAATATTTTGCATGATGTTAAAACTGAAGGCAGTAAATTCTGAATGCGCTAAAGATTAACTGAAAGGTAAAATGAGCAGAAATAGTGTTAATTTATTTTTCATCAGAAATTTTAAGCTATATTATTTAAAGTTAATAACTGGTGTCTTTTTTATTAATTGGTGACAAAAATGGGCTGCATGATGGCAGAAAATTGGACTGCATGCCACATAAATAAAACCTACATCTCTCATCTCATTTCCATGTCGCTCGTTCCATTTCTCTGTCTTCACTGCTTCTGTTTTTCAGTAAAATGTCAACATTATCTTTTCTGAAACAATGAAAAGTTTAACATGTAGTAATCAGTATTTTCTTGATTAAAGGTCTTCTTCTGTTGTGTAGACGTGTAGAGAGTTTGTGTGTATGTACATGCATACCTATGTAATTGAGTTGTGTCTCATATTCACACAGAGGGTGCTGGTTCAAGCCACAGGCTCAGCTCAGAAAGGAGGACAAGTATCAGTATCCAGGGTCCCCCAGCAGGTACACAGTACCGTGCATACCTGTGCCATGTTCTGAAAATAGTTGGACACCCCTTGACTTTTTACAGACTGCTTTAAAGATTTTCAAAAGTCTTTTTACCGGTTTAATTTAGCCAGAGAGATATACGTTCTTTTCCTAAAACATGGTTATTTGGCTACAAAAGAACACCCAAGTTTCAGATCATCAAACTTTAATAATTTATTCATTTTCAAGTTGTCCAAACCTGACCCTGTGTAGAAAGTCATTTCCACTTGCGCTACCCTTGACTTTGATTAAACCAGTCCACTCTATTTTACGTTTTTTCTTTTTGAGCCACTCAAAAAGTGGCTCAAAATTTATTTTGGAGTAAATAATTTTCAGTGCTCTGCATATTCTCAAAGATATTTTTATCTCTTTGTGACTCTCCATTCAGAAAAAATAATCTTAAATTAGATTTTGTTAAGACTTAGCTTACCATTCTGTTCCTCTCTAACAAGCTATGTTTGTGCGCTTCTTAAGAGTATGAAAAGTTTCATTCTGTGGCTGAGCTGTCAGATCACAAACACCCAAGTTAAAATGAGGGTGTTTTTGAACTGGCACTGCTTCCTTGTTCCCAATTTGATGGGAAGAAATACTGTCGTTAGGCTCCCTTTTTCCAGCTCACTGAGGTTGATTTCGATGCTACACCTCACTTTGTTAGAAACATTTCTACTGAGAAACATGTTTTTGAAAAGGAACATCTGCAAGATGGTCTCCAGCTACCACCTTTTCGTTAGAAACACATGCACATCTGTCATCAACATTTACACACTTAAAATGTGGAAAATGGCAGTACAGGCAACAACACTAAAATATTTACAGCTAGATGAATGCTGTAATTAATTTTAATTAATTAAAAAATTGAAGGTGCAATTAGGTCCAAAATTAGACTTATGTCTGCCAGATGTAAGTTTATTGTAATTGTTAACAAAATATTTATTTTGACTGCAAATAATATGAACATTTTGTAGTGGCCCAGCCAGATTGCAATTTAATAGGTAATCTGTGTAAAGAGCTAAAGATTTGGGTAATGGTATGAAAGTTTTCCAAACTCAAAGATTAAATCAGATAAAATGGTAAAAATACACAAAAACTCAGTCAGCAATTCAAACAATGATTTGATTGCTATGATGCCAGTAAAATTTAATCTTATTATTGAGATGGGTGTGGCATTGCATTCGAATATAAAAATGTAAACGCAGCCTTTTTCCCTTTGCAATTGATGCTTGAGAAACTAGTGATAAATTTCTTTTCAGATTTTTTTTTATCCAGGAGAACGAACAATTTTGGGTTCAACTGTAAAATATGTGACATAATGATGATTACTATTATTTTGGTCTTCAACTCGTCTTAGTCCCAGTGGTTTGTGTCAACCTGCTGCAGAGTTTGAGTGATATTCCTGAAGGCTTGAACCAAAACCCAACCGTTTGTTATGACTATTTCTCCATTTTCATCCTTAAGTAGTTCCTACATCTCTAGTTGTGCATCTGCATCATTACAGTCTGTTCAGGTTCGGACGCATTTCATAACCAATAGCAATGAATTTAGTTTCATTGTCCAATTCCAATTTTCTTCACATTTTTGTAGCATCCACATCTATTGGCACCCCAGGTAAAGATGTCCTTTTTTTTTTTTTACTTCTGTACTATAATCTTAGAGAAAAATTAAGAAAGAAACAAGCTTTACTTTGAATATATTTATGCAATGTGGAGGAAAAATCCCAGACAAATAAGTTATTCTATAATTAGTTAATTAATTTATTTTTTTAAACAAAATCTCCAAAGCTGGTCTATGTTTTTATTTTGTACTATTCAGTTTTGCCATGGGGCCGGAACTTGCTCTTTTTATCACGTTGGGACACAGACAGAGGAATCTTTGACCCTTCTTCTGTTCAGAGCTAGCGGTATTTTTTATGTCAGAAATTCAGCTTTTTCTGCAGTTTTTCTGTAGGTTTTGGTTCTATAGACTCAGATGGGCATTGAAAATAGTTTCTTGTGAATGATTATTCACAAGAAAATATTGTGTCAATGTTAATGGACGTTCTGAATCATCACTGAGCTGAAAGACCCAGATATGACCTATTTTCAGTTTTCTACCAGTATCTTATTAGATTTTATGTAAAAGGCTCTAGTATTACATGGAGTTAATGATGCAATATGCTCAAATAAGCAAGAGAGAAAGGCCCAGAGCCTCAGATATGTTAGGCATGGCAGAACATCTGACATGCTTCCGAACTGCTGACATGTTTATAGGTTATTAAGGAGACATGGTGACCCCTCAATATTTACTACAGACCTCTAATGGTAAGCTTTCAAGATTGTTTTTAATCCGCTACTCTCTGTTTGTGATGGCAGGATGGATTCTCTGTCCAGCATTGCTCTTCAAAGTTTCAGTTGTTTTAATAATAATTTCTCTGATATGTGCAATTTTTGTTGAGAAGCCATGTTCTTGTAGCTATTTCATGACTTAATAATAATAAAACAAGACACATCTGCCTTTGTTGAATCTCATGGTTTTTTCCTCCATTTTGAAGAGCAAAATGGGACTCTGTCAAATTAAATGTGTATATTCCAGGGAACCATGAAGTTTGAATTAATAATCAAAGATTTCATTCCCATCAACTGTAGAAGGAATCAATTCAAAGTGTTCATTAGTTTTCAGACATGCTGTTGCAGCTGCATTTGAGATTTTTGGAAGAAAAAATGAAAAAAATGTGGGATTTTTCCTTCCACTAAATAAATTCACTTGTGTAAAAGGTTGGATTTTTCTTCATGGATATAGTTCTGCTGCAGTAAAAAAAATGTTTTTTACACACCATTAGCTGGGGTTTTAATTGATGATTTTAAGAAAATATTTGAATAACTTCTGTTTTGGACAGATTGTGAATAAGCCAAGGGGTGGACAGGTTTTTTTTCTGCTATATTTTATTTAATCACCTAACTGCATTTTTTCCATTTCACAGCTGTTTTAACTCTGAACACGACTTTTTGTACTGTGTCTCTTTATACAAGCAGCAGGTGCAACATGTCTACCCGACTCAAGTACAATATGTAGGAGAAAGTGGAGAAGCAGTTTATACCAACGGAACTATGTAAGCTCAGTTCTTTAATTTCACTGGTTACAAGGTGTTTTATTTCTGTCTGGAAGTTTTACGGAATTAAAAGAAACTCCATGAAATTTGACAAAAACCTGCAGATACTTTTCCAGATTCACACCGCAGCGATTACAAGCTTCTTAAATTATGCAAGAGTGTGTGGTGTGTTGAAAACACGGTGACAGATAAGATTTCCCACACCACTTGTCTCCTCATGCTAACTGCATCACCAACTGTTTTTAAAGTGGCTCCAATCAAAATGCCATTTAGGCTAATTAAAGCCCAGCTGTTCTTTTTTTCCCTCCTTATGCAGTTTTAATGTCGCTCCGATATGACCGAGTTCTGTGACGTCACTTGATCTGTTGTCTGTGTCGACATGATTACATACCAGCAGCAAATCATTCCTGTGGGCTAAACAGAATTTAGATTTTGAGTTTTGATTTAGCTATTCAACACATCAATAATTCAGTTATTCCTGCAGTTTAGGGCTGCAACTAACAATTATTCTAGTTATCAGTTATTCTATCTACTATTGTGACAATTAATTGAATAATCAAATAAGAAAATGTTCCATTCTGAATATTTTTCAATGAACAAATACAATACTAGAAATACAATGAAAAACAAATAATTCATATTTTACATTGGAAAATGTTAACGTAGCATTCCTATAGCAAAAGATGCATCTTGATAGTCAGCTAAGAAACACTTATAATATTAACATGTGAAAAATCCATTTCTGCTTGACTTAATATCAATACTGTGTAGAGATAAACTATTTACTTTTCAATTTAGCCAATTCATAATTTGATAAGAAGCTCAATAGGAAATATTTCCTTTAGTAGAATTTAAACCAGGTGAACAGGAGTTTTAGGTAGAACATTTTTACAGACAAAAAAGTTTTTTTTTGTTTTTTTTAAATCATAAATGAAAATGTATATTTTTGTACAGTTTTGTCTTACTAACTGCTCTAACTGTTGCTTTTTTGGAAATAGCCTTTTTTTGAGTCTCCTCCCGTTAACGATTAATCGATTACTAAATTAGTTGACGATTACTCCAATAATCGATTAATCATAATTTTTCTGATTCATCATTCCAGTATGTGTGAGTGTGAGCCAGCAGAGCTTTGGTGTGATGCATTCACTGATTGAAAAATGATTAGCACATTAGAGTTTCCGATCAAACCAAAAATCAGCAGCTGATTTCTTGGTGCATCTTTACTTTCATCGAACATCCTCTCAAACAGGACAAAGCGAATTTATTAAAAATATTTATGGCAAAACTCAAAAAGCACCTGATGCTAACCAGCGATCTGTCTACAGCCGAACGGCCTACTCCTACAACCCGGAGTCCCAGCTGTATGGACAGGGCAGCGGGGGGGCCTACTTTGACTCTCAGGCTGGAGGAACCCACGTCACCACAGTGGTGTCCTCCGCCAGCAGTGGCGTGCCGCCGCACGGCATGGTGGGCATCGCCATGGATGTGGGCAGCAGCCACATCATTTCCAGCGGCAGCACCTACCTGCTGCACAGCGGCGGCATGGAGGGGAACCGCAACCACATCTCACACTCGTCTCGCTCCTCCTCAGCCATGGTGAGTCGGTCCAGAGGTAGAACCGGGAAAGTCAAAGTTTTCTGTGGATTCTGTCGGCTCGGCTGGCAGGACCCATTACCTGATCAGCACTCCTTTATGCCAGCAGTCCACAACCTGATTTGAGTTGTTGTACCTCTATGACCACACACTGAGAGCAAAGTGGTGCTAGGCAGCTAGCCTGTAGAAGTGGGACTTTGCCTTAATTCAGGGCTGAATTGTTTTAAGGGTTTTCACAGGGCATTCGAGAGCCCCTGAAACAAAGAAACCCCTGGGGCTTCTTACCATTTGGCCCAGAGCCCGCTGGATCTCTCCTAAAGCCTGGAACGCTGCCTGCTTCTTTTTCCTTCTCTTATGTCGAGAGTCTGGCATCAGTTTTGATTGATTTTCCTCCATAGATGTCTCGCTTTAGTCATTCAGCTAAACATTTAATCAGGCTCAAATAATTTAGTTTCTTTCTCTCTGAAGAAATTAATGTAGAGTTATTTTATGTTATGCTTAGTTTTGTCATGGTAGCTTCTAACGTATTTGCCTATTTGGGTTTTGAAAAGGTTTTTGAAGTTGAACCAACTCTGGGATGATTGACATTGTTGACCCAGGTCTTTATTTGACCTGTGACCCTGTTTGTTGTTCCTATTTGCATACTTTAGTGAGTCAGACCCTGAGCCTTCACTGAGCTGCTTAACCCTATGAGTCCCTTGATATGCATGCTTTTGTCAGCCAATAATGGATTTGGCTGCAACACTGACTGATTTTAATGGAAATGCAGAGATCTGGCTGCTTGCTAACAGTCTTATTTCCCTTTTCTCTTCTCCTCTTCTTTCTCCCCAACATTATACCCCTGCAATCTTTCTGTTTTCTCTCTCTCTCTTCCTGTTCTGCCTCCTCTCTTTCTGTGTATCCTGTTTTTTTCTGTTTGCATGCTTCTTTCTTCAGCTTGAAATGGCGATTGAAAACCTCCAAAAGTCTGAAGGAATTGCAAGTCACAAAAGCAGCCTGCTCAACAGCCATGTAAGTCAACCAGAAACTTTCTATGTAAAACAGAACAGAAAGTTATGGCTGAATCTGTGGACTCTGTGTTCTGCTTGTGTCTGCTCAGTGAAACCCTGTTTGCTGCTGGCTTAATTTCCCCTTTCCAAAATTATTTGATTAAGTTTCATTCTTGACCTAAACTCATGTGTGCTGTCACTTTTCCCTTACATACAGATTTCAGGTGATGACTTTGATACTCTGCATGAACTAATGCTGATTATTTGTTTTTCTTGCTTTTTCACCAGCTAGCTTTCTTTTCTGTCTTTTATTGGAGGGAAAAAGTTAGTTAGATGAACCAAAATATATTTTTATCCTCTAGGTCAGTGACTCGATGCAGTCGTCTGGGTTTCCTTGGATGGAAGAACATCCAAGGAATGGTTTTCCATTTTTTACAAATTAGAATAATAATCTAAAATTGGCTCCTTACATATTGTAATGTGGTTCCAGTTGATCTTGTACAGACAAATAGTAAATAATAAGTAAAAAAACCCAAACTTGTCCACATTCTATAAACTTAGTACTTAGTTTGGATTAAATATTAATAATTAGTTTTTAAATGATGAAACAGAACAACAGAGAAAGATTAACATTGTGTCACAGAGGTAATGTCTAAAGATACAGATAAAAAGACTAAATAACACAACATCAAACACACTGCATGTTAAATGTTTGTTTTTCCATAAGAATCCATTCAATTAATTTAATGACATATTGATTGCAGAGATAAATCTTCAATCTTTTGTTCTATAACCTTGAGTTTCTGTAAAAGATTTTTGCAGTGATCAAATATGTTGAACTCTTTTCATTCTAAATTTCTAAATTGCATATCAATGACAGATTCAGTGTCCATTTTTTCCCTCCAGCTACAAAACACTAAAGAACAAAGTCAGCTGTTCAGTTTTCTCTTAGGAGCATAAAAGACAAAATAGATTTTAGTGGAAACAAAACGCTTCTGTGATGGAGAAGAGGAAAATATTCAAATTAAAAGACCAAAGAGGAAGAGTAGCAATACATCTTCACAGTTTTATTTCACATATTTCTCACCTTTACAGTTTATTTTATTATTGTCACATTTCATGATTTCACTTTTATTTTTTGTCACATTAGCATTTTTTATTTTGTTCCCATTACATTTTATGTATCTTTGACTGTGTTTTTCACTTTTAGGTTTTTGTTTTTAATTTGTCACAGTTTAGTAGTATTTTGGTCACATTTACAATTAAGGTGTAGATTTAGGTCTTTGTTTAAGGGATGTGGTAATAAAAATTAAATGCACATAAGCAATAATAATAATAATAATAATAATAATAATAATAATAATAATAATAATGATAATACAGACCTGCACTTAAATAACTTAGAAACGACATAATATGTAGGAGAAAACATAAAATACAAAACCCTTCAGCTGTGAGTTTGACGTTTACGTTTCTGTAAATATGCTAGAATAAACCAAAAGGCTATTTTTCCTTTGTTGTCCCTGCCTAAAAATACTTTAAAATACTTAAATATACATAATTTGTCAATAATTGCATTCAGTGCCAACAGTAAATATGAAACAAAGGAAACTACAACACAATTTTTATTAAAAAAAAGTGTAAATTATTCAAACTAAATTACATATTTGAATTTAAATCGGGAGAAATGTGATTTAAGGTCTACATTTTAACGTTGTACATCATGTGGGGGTGACTTGTCTTGTTATTAGAAGGTTGTAGGTTTGATTCCAGCTTCCTCTTGCCATATGTTGATGTGCCCCTGGGCAAGGCACTTAACCCCATAAATGCCTCCCGATCTGCGTATTGGACTCTAATGTAAAGCGCTTTGAATGGTCAAAAAGATGCGAAAAGCGCTACATAAGTTCAGACAGTTTATGTGTCCAAATTGTGTGTTTAAATTTCAGTTATTTTAACTCTAGTAGCAGTTTTTATTCCTGTGGTTATTTACAGCCTTAGCTCAGAGCTAAAGACAGGCACCGCCATGTGTGGATGTTTAAAAATCAGAGGCTGTCTGATGTGTGCGTTATGTGGCGTTTGATATGATAAAAAGATCTGCTCCTCTCCTCTGCAGCTCAGGTGAGCAGCGCAGAGCAGGTCCGTCTCCTGGGAACGGTCCGGGTGTGAATAAATTCTCCTCTATGTTTGCAGCTTCAGTGGCTGCTGGACAACTATGAGACGGCGGAGGGAGTGAGCCTGCCCCGGTGTTCCCTCTATAACCATTACCTCAGACACTGCCAAGAGCAGAAACTGGATCCAGTTAACGCAGCGTCCTTCGGGAAGCTCATCCGCTCCGTCTTTATGGGCCTAAGGACGCGGCGCCTCGGCACCAGGTAGGAGGACCCTGACAACAGTAATCACGTAACTTTTCAAGAAGTGATGAATATGATTATGCTGGAGAGGGACTGGTGGAGAGTAATGATAGAAATTACACTGAGGGCAAGACTTTTTCTCACAGCTTTCTGGCTCTTTTCTGTCCTTCAGAGGCAACTCCAAGTACCATTACTATGGCATCCGGGTGAAGCCAGATTCCCCACTGAACCGGCTGCAGGAAGACACCCAGTACATGGCGATGCGGCAGCAGCCTGTCCACCAGAAACAGAGGTCAGACTTTTGTCAACAGGTGGAAAAATTGTTTCCAGGTTGACTTACCTTTAGTATTTTGTAATTTGTGATTAAATTGTTTCAGTATTTAGCCCTTTTCTGTCCAAACCATTTATTACATTGGGTTAAAATCTTAATTTTAGGTTTTTTTTGGTGATGTTATAGATGTCTTATTGTGCTGTTCCCATAATCAAGTTTTTATAAATGACAAACCTTAGCAGTAACATGTAATTGAAGACAGTTAGGTAATTAAATTAAAGTACTTTTAAAGTTTTGTGTAGGGGTATCAGTGGCTTGTTTTGACTTGTAAAACTGAGTTCAGTTTTGTAAGAAACATAACTTAGTCATCGTTAATTTATGATTTAATAAGGAGGCGGTTGCTTTCTCCCAGAGGGCCAGACTGGGTTGGGCAGCTTTTTTCCCCCTCAGTGAATGGAAATGTTATTTTAAAACAGCTTTTTGTATTTACGCAGGTTATTTGTCCACTATTAGAGCTGAATGTCTCACTCTCGTGTTTGTGCAGGTTTAAGCCTCTGCAGAAGGTGGATAGCATGTCTGACAGTCTGTGTGGAAGCTCTCAGCACTGCAGCAGCACCCCAGAGCAGTCGGTGGCCGCGCAAACCCAGCAGCATCAGCAGTACATCGGTAAACACACAAGCTGCCTTTATGTACCGTTTTTATACATTTTCCCCCCAGATTTGATAGTTCTGAGTTACATTTGAAAGTCTTCTTTTGGCACCTGCCCATAGATTCCCACAGATTCTGTTTTTGCTGTCTGGAGATGTTGGGTTCATAGATGACAGCTCATCCATGTTTATTTCCACAGACACATCTCACTCCTTGCCTCCATTTCCTTCTCCGGACCTGGGCACGCAGCCTCTTCCTGAGCGCATCAGCACGACTGATGTTAAGACGCTGCAGACGCTCTACAGAAGCCACTGTGAGGTGAGGCTCATCTCTGCACAATCATTTCTGGTTCATTTCTGGTTCATAGCTGCATGTGCTTCTTAATAATCATTGGAAGTTTTTTTTAATTCCATTAATAGAGTAAAAAACTGGAATATTACATAAAACTATGACTCAGAGTGTTCTGTACTCTGAAGGTTTTTATGTCTGTTTTTTTGCATATGGTTGACTGAAAAATAACTAAAACGGTTAACAGATTATTGGCCAGTACAATAATGGAAAGACTGCTAATTTGACAGTCACTACAATTGACAGACTGCTGTGTCCAAGAATACTAATGGAAAGTTAAGTGTAAGGAAAAAGTCTACTAGAAAATGTAAACAACCGTCATGAGTGAGAGTAATGTGAAGTGAAGTGGAACGACTGATCACTTCCATTTGGGGCAACTTGGACTTAAAGTTTTATCATGATACTTTGTGTTACTATCGTGATAACGATAAAAGGGACAATAAGAACTACTTGTTATTTTTCCTCTAGGCAATTGTATGGCTGTCGGGGCAAGATTTAAAAATAAAATACTAATTCGTCACACACTCCTTAGGACACCAGTGACAAATGGAAGTGTGATTTGTACCATTAGATGGTTCACAGTAACTTAATTTAATCATACTTTCAAATTAATTGATTTTTATTGACACTTTTATTGAAAAAAGATTGGGAAAAATAATACAACTAGAAATCACAACGATATTTTTCAACATCTTTAATTGGAATTTATTGTGGCAACAATAAATCAGAAATCCTATACTAATAAATATATCACAAGTGAGAAATTTCTTAGTACTTCCATGTCTCCGTATCACTTTGTGTTTATGGAAAATATAAGTTTTAAGGAAACCCAGTTTAGTTTAGTTTATTGATTTGGAAAAAACCCAAAAAACATGAAGTTTTTTGTAACGAGTTAATTTACTGATTTTATGTGATAAGCTGAGGCTTCTGGATTCATATGGTGATCAAAGCTGAATATCCCAAATACATTTACAACTGATGGTAATTTAAAGTTCATACGAATTAAACCACATTGAGTTTGTTTATGGTGTGAAATACAGAAACAGCTGAAATTCCTTCATAATGTCCCAGTGTTGGGAAATCGGGCCGCAGCCAGCAGGTGTCTCATTTCTAAACTGTAAATATTCTGGGTGAAGAAATCGGAGTTCTTGAGGAATGACGTTTCACAACCGCAGTTACCCGCCGCAGTTCGGTTCAGTTCCCTGACAGAAGAAATCACTGGCGCAGCCTGAAGATGGAACCAGATATCAGAGCAGGAGAAACAGCCCAAGAATTTGGGCCGTTGGATCCTGGAGAGAGGCAGCGACTAAAGCTGTGAAGCTCTGGGTTTTATCATATTATCCCTTTCCTCCTCTTCTCCACACACAGCCTTTGTTCCATCCGTCTTTTCATCTCTGCACAGCTTTCAAGATATGCCAATTAACCTTTCAGCATGCTGGGTGGACATCTTGTGTCTTTGTGGCGGCCTCCCCTCGGGCCTTTGTGCCGCTGTGTCTGCGGACGGATGGACAGACAGGAGTCTGTCCATCCGTCCATTGTCCACCGTCACATTTCTGCCACTCTTACTGCTTCCAGCGACTAATCTGTCTGCTTTGTGTCATCTTTAGACATAATTTTGCAGCACAAGAAACAACAAGTTGTTAGAGTTTAGCCTTTTTTATTATTACTGAGCTAAATGTTTGCATTACAGCTTCAGTTTATCAAAACTTCAAAATATTGGATAGGATTAATTAAAAAAAAGCTATTATCATGTCCATGTACAGTATATGGACTCAGAACTGCATCAATGCGGCGTGGAATGGACATGATCTGCCTGTTTTAAGGAAACCCAGTTTAGTTTATTATCTCATCGTCATCTTGGTACTCCAGAGATTCTTTAAGGAGTTTTACGTCAATCAGCGATACCAGGTGTTTGTCCTATTGGCAGAAGTCCAATCCTGCTGGAAGATAAATCAGCTTCTCCATAAAGATTGTCAGCAGAGGAAAACATCTGTGCTTTATAATTGCCTGGTAGACAGCTGTGCTGAATCTGGACTAAATCCTCACCTGAAAACTTCTCTGCAACCATTCCAGCTCTCTTGCATTTTCTCTCCCATACTTTTTCCTTCCACTCAACTTTCCATTGATATGCTTGTATGCAACATTCTAAACGATCAACTTCTTTAGTAGGGGCTTTTTGGTGTCAGCAATCCCCCCCATTATATTATTATAATATTTCTATATTGAGGGGGAGAAAATATATATATATATATATATATATATATATATATATATATATATATATATATATATATATATATATATATATATATATATATATTATATAATATTTCTATATTGAGGGGGAGAAAATATATATATATATATATATATATATATATATATATATATATATATATATATATATATATATATATATATATATATATATATATAAAAAATTCCCTTCTCACCCACCGCGGGTGGTTCTTATCCTCTGAGCTCGGGTCCTCTACCAGAGGCCTGGGAGCTTGAGGGTTCTGCGCAGTATCTTGGCTGTGCCAAGGACTGCACATTTCTGTACTGAGATGTCTGATGTTGTTCCTGGGATCTGTTGTAGCCACTGCTCCAGTTTGGGGGTTACTGCCCCGAGGGCCCCGATGACCACAGGCACCACTGTGGTCTTCACCTTCCAGGCCCTCTCCAGTTCTTCCCTGAGGCCCTGGTATTTCTCCAGTTTCTCGTGCTCCTTTTTCCTGATGTTGCAATCACTTGGTATTGCTACATCAACCACAACGGCTTTCCTCTGATGTTTATCCACTACGACAATGTCTGGTTGGTTCGCCATTACCATTTTGTCTGTCTGGATCTGGAAGTCCCACAGGATCTTAGCTCTGGCGTTCTCCACCACCTTTGGGGGTGTTTCCCACTTTGATCTTGGGGTTTCCAGTCCATATTCTGCACAGATGTTTCTGTACACTATGCCTGCCACTTGGTTATGTCGCTCCATGTACGCTTTCCCTGCCAGTATCTTGCACCCTGCTGTGATGTGCTGGATTGTCTCAGGGGCCTCCTTGCACAACCTACACCTTGGGTCTTGTCTGGTGTGGTAGATCTGGGCCTCTATTGCTCTGGTGTTTAGGGCCTGTTCCTGGGCGGCCAGGATGAGGGCCTCTGTGCTGTCCTTGAGTCCAGCTTTTTCCAGCCATTGGTAGGATTTACTGATATCAGCCACTTGGGTTATTTGCTGGTGGTACATCCCATGTAGGGGCTTGTCCTCCCATGATGGTATCTCTGGCACCTCAACCTCCGTTCCCTGTTGTCTGAGACATTCACTGAGCACATTGTCTGTTGAGGCTTTGTCCCTGATGTATTTATGGATCTTAGTTGTTTCGTCCTGGACAGTGGTTCTCACACTCACTAGTCCTCTGCCTCCGTCCTTGCGGCTCGTGTACAGTCTCAGGGTGCTGGATTTGGGATGGAACCCTCCATGCATTGTTAGTAGCTTTCTGGTCTTAATATCTGTGGCTTTTATCTCCTCCTTTGGCCAGCTAATTATTCCAGCAGGGTATCTGATTACTGGCAAGGCATAGCTGTTTATCGCACGGATTTTGTTCTTGCCATTGAGCTGGCTTCTCAGGACTTGCCTTATTCGTTGGAGGTATTTAGCTGTGGCTCCTTTCCTTGTGACCTCATCGAGGTTGCCATTTGCTTGTGGTATACCTAGGTACTTGTAACTGTCCTCTATGTCTGCTATTGTTCCTTCTGGGAGTGAGACCCCTTCTGTGTGGATGACCTTCCCCCTCTTTGTGACCAGCCGACCACATTTCTCTAGTCCGAATGACATCCCAATGTCCGTGCTGTAGATCCTGGTGGTGTGGATCAGTGAGTCGATGTCTCGCTCACACTTGGCGTACAGCTTGATGTCATCCATGTAGAGTAGGTGACTGATATTGGCCCCATTTTTGAGTCTGTATCCGTAGCCAGTCTTGTTGATAATTTGGCTGAGGGGGTTCAGGCCTATGCAGAACAGTAGCGGGGACAGAGCATCTCCTTGGTATATGCCACATTTGATGGACACTTGTGCAAGTGGTTTGCAGTTGGCTTCAAGGGTGGTTTTCCACAGCCTCATTGAGTTTGCAATGAAGGCTCTCAGAGTCCTGTTGATGTTATACATCTCTAAGCATTCAATGATCCAAGTATGCGGCATTGAGTCATAGGCTTTCTTGTAATCAATCCAAGCCATGCACAGGTTGGTGTGTCGGGTTTTGCAGTCTCGGGCAACTGTGCGGTCTACGAGGAGTTGGTGTTTGGCTCCTCTGCTATTTACACCGATACCCTTCTGTGCCGTGCTCATGTGTTTATCCATGTGTTTGCTTATCTTGGCTGCTATGATGCCTGACATGAGCTTCCAGGTTGTGGAGAGGCAGGTTATTGGTCGGTAGTTGGGTGGGACTGGACCCTTTGATGGATCCTTCTGGATTAGGATTGTCCGCCCTTCAGTTAACCATTCAGGGTGAGTCCCACTTTGTAGCAGCTGGTTCATTTGGGCTGCTATTCGCTCATGGAGAGCAGTGAGTTTCTTTAGCCAGTAGGCATGGATCATGTCAGGCCCTGGTGCTGTCCAGTTTTTCATACCTGAGACTCTTTCTTGGACATCTGTCACAGTGATGGTTACCGGGGCTTGCTCAGGGAGGTTGCTGTGGTCTTCTCGTAGAGAGATCAGCCACTGTGCATTGCTGTGGCAATGCACAGTGGCTGATATATATACATAGGCTGATATATATACATATATATACATACATATATATACATAGGCATATATACATATATATACATAGGCATAGTCTATGTATATATATATATATGTATATATATATATATATATATATATATATATATATATACATATATATATATATATATATATATATATATATATATATAATATATATATATATATATATTTTTCTCCCTCTCAATATAGAAAT